AATATAAAAATGTTTCATAATTGAGAAATATCTGAATCAGTGAAGTCTGTCAATCTGAGAATGTGGTCTGGGTTTCCTACAGATGATGCTGTCACACTGTCACCCTGACAATTTAGTCTACTCCTCTCCTACACATTCTCTAATGACTAGATTTCAGTTTTCCTCTTCTTCTTCTTCAGTCCAATCAGCTGATTCAAGTCTTACTCCAACGACTATCGAGGACTAATATTTCACGTCAACACCACTAGTCGACCACATAAACGCATCCGTTCAGCATTAGACAGCATTATACATATTCACAATTCAGAATCAATCCAACAAACATTATTGTCAGCTTGGGATACTTACAAATCCTCTTAGTCGTCATAATGCCTAAATATTTATAGTTGGCTACTCAGTGTGTTCTTCGATTTCTTGAAATCCCACTACAAATACTTCCACAGACCATCAATGTCATCCTTCCCCTCCCCTAATACATTTTATTAAAGTAAGAACGATAAAACATCACAGTACAAAATGAATTCCACTTATACACTAAACTGAAAGTCTGTGTACGGTTTACTTTAATTAAGATGTCATATATTTGTAAACCAAGTTCACTCTCAACAGTTTGAAAACTTTTTATTTTTTATTTTATTTATTTTTGATTACAGCTTGATTCCACACCGAATTTTTGGTACAAGTATGGAATTTTCAGCATGGATATCGGTAGCCCAAATTTCGCAGGCCGACCATAGATATCAGGTGTGCGTCGGCGTGGGCTCGAACCCCAGACCATATGCGTGGTCGGCGAGAGTCCTAACCACTATGCCACCGACGCATTGGGTTTATGTTCTTCAGCATTCTAAAGGTGTTTGTGAATGAAAATATCGTTTTCTATCTCAGTCATTGGGAAGTTAAAAAGAACCACCAGAATAATCGTTAAGATGTTATTGCACATAGCAACCACATTATATGACATAGTTAAGTCGTACAATAAACACTAAGCTGGTGATTTCACAACTATACTACAATCAACGTGGTAACAAAGACAACATAGGTCATGACCCTGATTAGTCAGCATAGATACAAATTCTCACTAAAAGAACAAATTATACAATAAATTCAATCCAGACAAAACAAAACAATAATTCAATGTAATACTGAGACTGCGTGATTAGTCATCAAAGCGGTAGAGAATGAAAATAGAGATGACGATAGACGCCGGTTGAGATAGTCCTGACATAGTGAAGGATAGGCTAAGATACAACATCAAAATATGATAAACATATTGGTTGACAAAACCTGTCACAAAGATGATGAATAATGTTTACAGACTTAAGTCAACTTTGACATTCCCACTGATCGATTGGATAGGAGGAAATGTGCATCATGAATTCCACTGCTAGTCACTATCCACTTAATGTTTACTTAGTGTTTCCAGATGGTAAGGGAATGGAACAAATAATACAATGGAAAGTAGGAAAATGTCGCCTAGTCTTCGAGCAGGTGGATAGCCTGCAAAACAGGGAAGATTGAGTGTGAGGCTACCAACACAAAACAGCAACAACACCAATGCTACTGAAACTATCCTTATCCCACTAACAGACCAAACAAATGAGAAAATTATAATAGTAAAGAGATATCAAGTTACCTAGAAAATTCAAGGAAGACCACAATATACTCCTGCATACATACAACTTAGACTTCAATTGTCTGATTGATACTGATCCAATATATCATAGTAATCTATTGTTACTCTGTTGGTTTACAATCTGGTAAATAGTTTTAGAATCGCTGACGTAATATCAGACATATGCCAACACATATCACAGATAGGTAGTCTTGAATAGAATGGTTATCTCTTCCCACATCTTCGAAAATTCCTTTCGTAAGAACCGTCTCTCTTATTCCTACCCACATCGTACGTCAAGCACGTGGAAACAAATCAATTCAGTTTCACCACAAACAAGAACTCTAGTCAAAATTTATCACCACGGATAACCAGATTACATTTTAAACATCTGAGTGGCGATGAATTCGGGTAAATTTGAAAAACATCGATCGATTGTGGTTCCCTCAGAATGTTTATCCATAAACATTCTAAATATTTAACAGAGAAAAAAAAGGAATAGAAATTGGTTGAAACAACTTCTCCAAATAAGAGTGCATTCACATTAGATTACCATTAATTAACACGTGATGAAATCAGCTCACAAAATTATCGTCGATTGAATACATCTATCGTCTCAACATATCCTGTCAAGGAATCAATCCGAGTCATCAACTAAAAGAACATTCTGAGGGAGGCACGTACGGATACCATGAATATTCATTTTACACTTCTAGAAACAAACACTCTCAGCCAATTTCCACTGGATTCCCAAACCAATACATCTACATCAACCTACGAAACTGGTGACTACCGAAGAACGCCAGTCAATAAGTGTGGCTCATACCTTAATACAGTCTGTTCCAGGTAACTCACATCGCTCTGAATGCAACACACGATTCTCTGACTCCATCTGATAAGTATTTCGACCATCTACTACCATCACTAAACAGTCTTTCGACTCTCATCACCTACAACAAAATACACCCTAATCTCTCTCTCTCCATGATCACCGAAAAAATAATTTCATCACATTTCCGAATCTAACAGGTTACGAGATTTCTCTGCATAATTCAACGACGATATATGTGTGTATGAAATGGGGAAATAAGATTTCCCAAGCATGACAATTTAGTATGTTCATCGATAGACAGTGTACACTGTGAACAGTCGACATTCTTCATAACATTCCCACGAAGTATTTAATGTTCAGAAGACAATGACACTTGCAATCAATGAAAACAAAATCCCTTTCAATAATATGTAATACGGAATATTCACACTGTACTCTCAGTCACATACTAGTCACGTCTATCATGTCGCTCAAATCGAAATGAGACTGTTTCTTTAGAATTCCTAGGTGGGACAATTAACTCATTCATTACACACAGATGAGAGTTAAGATGTACGACTAAGAAAGTGAAGATTAACGTCTCGTTGTTTGGGGGCCTGTGAATAACACAGGAATCTCGGAAGCGAATCTCCCCCTTTATCGAACTGCTCATTCGGAACTTCCTGCAATCCCCAGTGACTGATGCAGTCCACACTGACACTGTGAATGGCACAAGTGCTCTAGTGGGTGATACTTTGGCTTTCGAAATGATGATCGCCGGTTAATCATCTCAGTGGGAACAACATCACTCATTGGAGAATTCAGACACATCCAGGTGACGAATTCTAAATAACAAGAGATGTGCATCCTGGACTCCACAGGCGGTCACCATCCATCAAACAACATCATTCTAATCCTAGAACATCATCCAAGCATCTGAACTAGATGTCACTGTGTCGACAGAGGTCAAACAATCCAATTCAGTCAGTCAACGGGAAGAACAAAATTGACTCGAACGACGATTGCTCTGAAAAATCTCGCCAATTTCGAGTTGAATTATTTCGACGGGAATAGTAAAAGTGTCATTTCATAAACCCATGAATTTCACCTTCACATTTCATAAGAACGTGAAACACTCTACCCAATAATATTAACGAAAACATTTCACTATATATGACTACATTGTCAAATTCTGCAAGGAAACGCCTGCTGATGATTTGAAATGTTCATTGACAAATCCACTGCCCAGAAATTGGACATAGAACCCGACTGAAACTAAACCACATATTGACTCGCTATTCAAATATATCAGACTAAATGTATTCCTATACCACTTCACTCATAATCCCTTGTCTTCTGAATAACTCAGAAACATACCGTTCACTCCCAGTCGGAGAACTGTTAAACAGTAACATGTCGTCTATACTAATTTCAAAATTATTCTCACTTCACTTCGAAGTTCACTGTCATTGTATAATATGTGATGTCTGTATAGTTGATTTCTCAAATCGATATGACAGTTTCTCCCACTTCCAGTATTCTATCCATTCTTACATTGTCACTGGGTGGACTACACAACTACCATATATGTATAGACAATTATGGGTGGTTAGAGCCATTCGAAAACTGTTTACTGCTGGTGTTGGACTCGTGAACAATACACAAACATCGGGGGTCGAACCCATGACATTCTGGTTACAAGGAGAGCTCTCACTACTGAAGAGTCACAAACTTGGACGAAACAGCTCTCCACTACTCCCAACTGGTTTTCCAATGGTTCTCTAACTCATGTCAACACACGACGAAATCCTATAACCAATCAAATCAAATCCACACAAAGATAATACTTGAAAATCTCAGATGACTCCACAAGGTAAAAGATTTATTTTGATAAATGAATCCCTAGGTTAAATTCTTATATCAACTACAGATGGCAATCTCCACCTAAACTATACTGATTTCACAAAAATCAATTTTCCTTCTATCATTACCCTTGGGTCCAACTAATCGACATACAGACATTCCTATATGTCTCGATAAATAACCTTGACACGACAAGCTCTGCTGTCTTACAAGTCTCATCATGCATGATGAGCCATCAGCAATGATTGACTGAGCCAAAGAGTTAATTTACATTTTCAACCTCACAGTCACACACACGCTAAAACCACCCATTGAAATAAGCTTCCGAAAATAATTAGTGAATAAAACAAAAATAAACAATCTCGTGGACTAAGCAAATCATTTCCAATAGACAACGAAAATAAACACACAGACACACGTTTAACGCACACACACAATAACCCTCTCATTCACCCTCCCACCCACAACACATAACATCGGTCTCCATCTGATGACCTTGGCCCACATCTTCCCTCGTTTGCCATTCGTCCATTCCAATTCGTTCCCTTCACACAAAAAACATTTACACCAATTCCAATTGGTCGCAATCTGGTTCGTTATTTCGAAAAATAGTTTGGTTACATTTACGCTCAACAGTCTCACGCTGTCTCGTGTGGCTCCCACAGGTTTCTCTATTGTTCTTTTTTCGAGTCTCTCAAAATCAACCGGTGAATCATGTCTGGCCGTGGAAAAGGTGGAAAGGGATTGGGTAAAGGAGGAGCCAAAAGACATCGGAAGGTTCTCCGAGACAACATCCAAGGAATCACGAAGCCCGCTATCCGCCGTCTCGCTCGTCGTGGTGGTGTGAAACGCATCTCAGGCTTGATCTACGAAGAGACCCGTGGTGTCCTGAAGGTGTTTTTGGAGAATGTGATTCGTGACGCTGTGACATACACAGAGCATGCGAAGAGGAAGACAGTGACAGCTATGGATGTTGTGTACGCTTTGAAACGCCAAGGTCGTACTCTGTACGGTTTCGGTGGTTAATTTTGTCGGTGTGAGTGAGTTGGAGGTGACCTGACATGATCTGACGTGAATGTGGTCTGCACGAGAACGCATCACGGTCCTTTTTAGGACCACTAGAATTTGATTTGTCCTATTTTTGTTTTTTGTTAGACGTCTATTATGAGCTGAGTGTCGTTGGGGATGTGGTGTTTTGGTGGGAGTAGTGTTGTTGTCTTTTCGACCGTAGCATAGTTAAAGGTATCCACACTTCAAATACGTTACGTGGATTTTTTGCAGTGTAGCTAGCAAACTTTGTTAAAAAGTCATAAGCGTGGGTAACTCAGTAGTCTCACTCAGTCGGTTGCGTGTTAACCGAAACAAGGACTAACCGGTAGTGTTCTCCTGTCCGTTCTGCCACATATTGACATCCTACTCTTGATTTGTGTTAGGTGCATTGTGAGTTTTGAAGGTGTGTATTAGCGATTGCCTCTGAATCACTTATATTGATCCTCTAATTCGCATTCGTGCATTTCTGAGGGCTAATCAAAGACCAGGCATTTAGAAGTCATGAGAACGGAGGGTATTTTCTAAATACCTTCGGTGCCATAACTATGTTGAGGATCTCTTTTCGACCTAAGCTTACACTGGGTCAATCAGCCGTTTCCTAGTAATGAATAAACATTCCACGTGAATTCCAACCATGAGTAGAAAGTTTTGTAGGGAATAACAGTAAACACGGACACAAGGAAAATATCCAGCCAATAAATTGAGGGGTTCTGATTTTATTACAAATACAAGAGAGTATGGCCTAAGTGAAGTTCGTGGAGAAAAATTTTCTGGCATTTTAATTCCAAATTATAATCTTATTACTCCGTTCCTTGAGCAGAGATTATTCTCGACATTACCTGCCCATTCATTATGAATTCAGATTCCTATTTCGTTGGTACAACTTAAATATTAGATAAGATGCCCACAAACCAAAATTAGCGAAAATTACTGAAAACTGACATTTGTCTCACATTCCCTGAAGACCACAGTTACATTAAAATCATTCATTACCAATCATCATTATTCGGGAAATGTTTTGACCAGTCTGACCATCAAGATAGACTGGAACAGACTAAAGTGTCAGCCACTTGTAGGACAGACACCCACCACTATCAGAATAAATGGCCACATATGAATCATGAAGGTTATTTCTTACTGACACAAACACGCCAACCGGCTCATAAGTCCAAGCTATCTATCTATCTATCTGTCTATCTATCTATGTAAGTAACTCACTTCCCACAACTACCATCAATTAACATCAAAGAGGAGAAACATCGTAAACCGGTGAGAGTTGATATCGTCACTGGCGTCCATTTCGAGTTAATAAGCCAACAATAGTGAATAGTTATCAGAGATTACAGGATCAACTACAAAATCATCATATTTGCAAGTAATTATTCTAAAATTCGAGCACTGTGTCTGAATTCAGTAGCTGACGCTTTCCAACTTTGTTAAGTCTAGTGACCCACAGGGTCAATCAATATTCACTTCCATGGCTGAGTAGTTCTTCTGACACGCCACTTGACTGACTGAAGTGATTAAAAATTTTCTCATTCAGCTCTCAAAAAATCAGTCACCTCGGATTATTCTCCGATCACCGAAACATTCACATTCGATTACATGATTTGTAGAGAATGGATCGATTTCACAGAAATTCTCATCACAGATAGATTTAACCTCGACTTGATCACATTTAAAACTTGAGTGTTAGCTGGTAAATGCATCCAGAGAAAACTAAGACAGTCATCATCAGTTAACCAGTGACAGCTACTTACAGACTAAAATATATTCTATACACCGTGGAATCACATTCATCATATTGACTGAAACATCAAATCTTCTAAATTGTCTTCACTCAATTTTCTTCATAATCCAGTTGACTATTGTTGACTCATAGAAATGTAGACTTATTGGGTGATTCAGTTTAACCCTTCAGATGATTTTCAAAAATATAAATCACAGACAACCAAATCACCTCAGTTCAGATATAAGTCAGTACAAGATATTCTCTTCATTCGCCCACCAGAAATGAATACTATTCGGCTACACGTTTCTGGAGAACTCGCTTGCAACGCCAAATTTACTCAGCGTCATGCAAGCAAGCCAGCCAGCCAGCCAGTCAGCGAGATAATAGATAGAGAGATAGATACACACAGAAGTAGACATATTCGCCATCTTACCCTTCACACATTGACTACTAGTCCTACCAGTGATTGACAATGTTACGCGTAAGTCATACAGATAGTCCCACTTTACTAAAACTCACTATGCAAATGAATTAGTGTGAGCACAAACTGACCAACTTATTCTCTTCATGGTAAATATAACACCAGGTGAGAAATGTCAAACATAAGGAAATACACTACACTTTTACCAAGTACTTCTTACGAAACTGTGAGTTCCCCATATATATATATCTATAGGCTTCCCCCTATTCTAAAAACGCCTATCCCTCCATTTAAGATAAAAGCATTCATAGGAAATCTATTTGAATCTCTATAACTCTATTCAGATTATTTAATCATGTACAAATTTGTGTGGGAAATACCGTTTATTACGGAAGGCGACCTTCTGACCGACATCCTAAAGAGAAGAATATCTAACACTCTGGATAGAAGATTCTCTCCTGCTACATTACGATTGGTATTCTCAAGCTGACCGTTGTTCTTCAACAACTCCAAAGATAATTTATCGGATTTGACCACTTCTATGTGTATCTACGAAATTACTTCCTCGTGTGGAGCGAGATACATAGGTCGTCCGATCCGTGTTTTATCTAACAGAGTCAAAGAACATTATCCCACTTGGCTACGGAAAGGTAACAGTGGATCAATAAGGAGTGATATAATTCAACATATATATTCAACACTCACTCACTCACTCCATTTGTGAGGAGAGTTCGTTCAAAGTCATCTACAGAGTCAGAAGAAGCCTCTCGAAAACTGTTAGCTTCCGTGTACATTACATTTCCGAGAACTTAGCGATCCGGATGGAGAACCCTGATTCATGTTCACAGAAGAAACTTCTCCATCCCCTCCCTCTACCCTGGAGTATAATTCCATGTTCGACTGCTTTGGTACTATTTTTTATTATTCCTTTACTTTTCCAGTGGAACACAGGATATGTGATGTTGCAGTAGCAGAGGCTTTACTTTCACGGTATGGGGTGGCTAGCCTCACACCCAACCTTCCTTATTTACTGGCCCTATTGTAGGCTTACCGAGGTTTAGGAGTCCATCGGCTGAGTGTAGAACCCCAGGTCACATGTGTGTTTGGTGAGAGAACCACCATTGGACCACCGAAGAACACTTTCTTTCTGACTAATACTATTTGTCAATTTTCCTATGACATTTTACTAACATCTTACTCCTAACCAACACTTCATTTACTCTTCCTGCCTATTACACAATTCATTTTGGAAACTTATCCACACGCTCTCTCATTAACATCCTATTCTTCTGAGTGTCCTTCATGTTACTCGACCCAAGCCGCATCGATACTTACCAGTCTTCACCCACCCCTAGTTAAAATTTGATTATTCACCATATTATTTCTGGAGCCTTTTCATCACGTAAACAATAACCAACCATAGCGTGATCAAGATCGAATGTCGTGTATTGAAGAAATGATTGCCTATGTAGTAACGAAGTAGTCGGTGGTAAATTTTCCTGGAATTAGAATGCAGATGTCATCTCAGTCCATTCAAGTATACAGTGTTCGATATACTCATGTTAAATATCTACCCTCTCGATCATCCTCACCAGAATCTCAGTGATCTTTGGCAATACGTTGTCCAGGGTTCACTAACAAAATCGAGCGGCTAGGCTTAATGGTAAGAAATAATAAGTCACAACTCGGCCTCAGTATCTCAGACACCGCTGGCTTCAGCTAGAGTATATAAAACATCCGGCAAAGGTTAATAAAGTAGGATTTGATGGAATTCATCAAGTCTCAGTAGGACTCGTTAACTGTGAATACTCAACGTACGGTAATGTATATACTATTGGAATTACCTTGGGAGATACAAGATTGATGAGGAAATAGACTACATCGAAGTAGTCATGAAGAAAGACAGGTCATGTTCCAAATATATGAGGGAGAAGGAAGTTGAGAGATTAAAATTAAGGTAAAATGCATTACTCCTCAGTTGCATCACTTAGATAAACAAGTAGTCATTGGAGAACATATCGAGAACTGCGAACAGAGTAATATCAATGTTAATGGTATTATTAATAATAATATTGATAATAATGGTGAAGTGTTTTAAGATGATGGTACAGATAAAAGGTAGTTTTAAGTGAATCAATAATAATAATAATAATAGTACGAGGTGGAAACAAGCGTTACTAATATTAATAATAATTGTTGGTAAGTGAAACGTACCAGATCTGCAGTATAAAACGATAACATTCTAAGTGGTAGTAGAGAAGAATTACTATTAATTTGATACATCCAAAATGTAAGCATGTCAATCTTTAGTCTATATTTTCATCATCAATTTATACGCTTTCAAAGTATAAAAGAAGGTGGAGGGGGAAGACAGGAAACAGAAAAGATTAACAAATAGTGTTAGCTTGCAGGTTCACGTAGCAACTCAAAAAACAAAAGTGCTTACAGTTTAAGATTAAAATTTGATCAGTGAGTTGAGATCATTTAATTAGATGAATAATTTATGTAATCAAAACTAAAATCCAGTTACCAAGGTAGTGAGCGATTAATCACACTCGCCTTCTGTATATATAAGTCTGGTTTGAACCGTTTGATTGAGATCACTTCATGAAATCTTAGTAAATATGCTGCCTAATGTCTATATAATACTTTGAAGGACTCTATACGAGATGACCAGTATCGACAATATGTCCAGAAAGCCGGATAGAAATCCTTCTTCCCGTCCTTTCAATGTACATGCTCCCGGAAGTGCACCTAAATTCATAAACGCATTTGGATGGCGGTGACATCATCAGGGCATGCATCCAGTTTTGATTGGCCTATAGAAGAAGTAGTTCTGTATAATGTTATGAGTTGAGCTCCAGGGAAACTTCTTTTTATTGCACCTTTCAGTCTTTTATCAATCTGTTTGACACTGCATCTCCTTTGAATAGACACACTATTCTACTACCACTTACACATTGAACTGTTATTATCACCTATATGACTATTGTAATTTCATGTAGTCTACAGTCGATGAGAACCTGAGATAGAATGATATCACTGTAAATTTTCTTTCACTATTGACATTTATCAAGGGAACTAAATATAATTTCTACAAAGTCACATCCAAATTGATATAGGCAGTTTGAAGTGTCGACGATTGTTGACTAGTCTTTCCCAGATTGTTGAAGCCCTAGGTTGATGGTGATAAGGAAGATAAGTCTTGCAGCATAATAAGTCCCCTTGATAGATTCATCGAGTTTTCGCTTGACTACTTCTTGTACATCATCTCGTATGAATGGCAAATTAATATAGACAGATTTCATCGGAACTGAGCTAGAATAGCTGCCCACTCTGACAGGGCAGTAGTGGTGGTTTTAAAAAATCTGTAGGTTTCTCAACACCGTTAGCTGTCTACTCTTAAACACAAGGAGTTATTATTCCACATACAAATAGATTTAACTGCAAGACATTGTCGTAGGTTCCATTTCTACAGTCCCCTAAATGATGTTTGAAGCTAAGGTACTTCCTATTAAAGAGTCTCATCTAGAATGGGAAGTTAGATGTTATGAGGTTGGGGAAATTGAGTCGTCAGGACTGGAACAATTAAAATGGAGTCGATTTCTAAGTCACACTTAAATTGGAATCCACTTCATGAGAAAGATGCTGGTTAATCAAGTCCAAAAGTAAGTAAATGTGCTGTTCACTTTATCTCCAACTGGAGATATTCGTTTAAATACGTGGTTTCCAGAGGATCTTCCTAGCGGTCTATAGCGTAGAAGTGCAGCAAGCTCTAATATTAGGGAACAATTGGCAAGACAAGACAAGTATGTCAGCGTTTCTGCAATTTGACCCATGGGCCTTACAGGCTGAAGTCTTAAGTATCTCTCCAACACGAGTTCAGGTCAGCTAAATTTATGGGATACCCAACAAGCAGAAGGAATCTAATTTGCTTTATTGTGCAGAAACTGTCTCTACCAAGCGACTACCTGAGTTGAGGATTCTGTGACTAAATTCTCACTATTAGAACAAATGGATCCACCTTACCCAATTCCACAATCTTAATCAGAATTCTGTCTCCTGAATAGAATCACCAAAAAATATCTCATTGTATTTAGCCCCCTCCCTTGTTGTGTATACTACTCAAGTATTAGCTAACATGTGTTCTGTCCCGTAAGCTGGAAGTGGTGAGGTATTCATATTTTATATGAAGTAAGTTAGTGACAAGACGGTTTATACGGCAACCTATGGGATACATGAATTGTTTTTGCCGGTAGTGAACGGGGCTGTGAAACCGTCAACCTCTAGCTTATTCACATGCCCTGCTGCAAATGCAGGATAGCCAAGCTGTCTCATTTTCAGACATTTCCAGGACGCCCACCGCTTTATACACGTCAACGTAGATATAATAATAACCTTACCTAACTATAAAAGCCTACAAAGTATGTAGAACTAGAACATATTATAAGGGAATATTCAACATGAAACGTCTAATCGATGGAGTGAATTATGCACGTCGATAGCTTTATGAATGAACTCAAATCGGGCAACTGAAGTCATATCCAATCAAGTTCCTAATATATGCATTTCATCATCATCCATCATCCATGCACACAATCCCCTCAAATCAGCGTAGTTCAGGACCTGCATTTGTGCTAATTAAAAAAATATCAGCGGTCACTGGTAGATCTCCTGAACAGTTGAATACACACTGCACTAGTCTCGCCAACACGATCTACACGATCAGAATGAATATGGACGATAGGAGTAATGAAAGCCCTGGCTGCTCCCCTACCTACAGTCACTTCCCATTGGCAACCACTACCTCTCCTGCAACAACCATGATCTCACCACAACACCATCACGCCTACAACCCCCACCTAAGCCTGACTCAACGGCCACTACTACCTGACGGGAATGTCGGGAAGTCCACGATAGTCCTAAGCGCTTCTTAAGTGGGTATGCTTGACGAGGAAAACCGCCTTAACAAAAACCAACTCAACTGCACAACCCGTGCCGTCCAAAGAAAATTAAAACAAAACAAGATCATTGTTTGGTAGCCCTTAAGAGGGCTGTGGTAGCGTTCTCTACTTCTGGCGTAATGTTTTACTTCGAGCCACTGTACTTCGTGACAGCCTTGGTTCCTTCTGACACGGCGTGCTTGGCAAGCTCACCAGGCAACAAGAGACGGACAGCTGTCTGAACTTCGCGGCTTGAGATGGTCGACTTCTTGTTGTAGTGCGACAACCTGCTGGCCTCAGCGGCAATACGCTCGAAAATATCGTTGACGAAGGAGTTCATTATTGACATGGCTTTGGATGATATACCAGTGTCAGGGTGAACTTGACGGAGGACTTTGTAGATGTAGATAGCATAGCTCTCCTTCCTCCTCCTCTTCTTCTTCTTGTCAACCTTAGGCAACTTAGCCTTGGATGCCTTCTTCGCAGCTTTACCAGATACAACCTTTGGTGGCATAGTCGTAGAGAGACGCAGACAAATTGGCAAAAGTTGGTTTCCCTATATATATTATTTTGTCAGACGTGAATTTGCCTTTAACGTCTTTAGATTGTGATAAATAACACAGCTTTTCATTGGCTGTCTTTGTAATGTTTTAAGCCAATCCGAAACGAGAGGTGAGGCTTTTGAAATGACCTTGTTAACAGCCCACTAAATCTCATGTCTACAATCGATCGTTTTCCTGACCTTTGTTTATGGCCAACAATAACTTTAGGCCTGTTTACTACCACCATGTGAAGCGTTAATGCTAGTCAATATAGTAATGTAGTAATAGGGCAGTCTGATAGAATTTGGAAAGAATTCTACCGCTATGGGTGTGAGCTATTTGACATTGTTCCATTATGGATAAGATTTTATTTTGATAAATCACAGTGTTGTGCAGTAATATTAACTGTTTTATCAAAATAAAATCTTATCCATAATGGAGTTATACTCCACCACAGTTCCCGAGTTTTATATATTATATATATATATTTTCAAGTATTGGTTTTTGTAGGGATTTTGTTTGATTGCATGGAGGATTTAATCATGAGTGACATCAGTTTATATATATATTTGACATCATGATAGAAATGAATAAGTAGGTATTTTTCCAATTTATATGTAGGCCTATGCTCGTTAAAATTAAAAAAAAAAATAATTTATTTTAACTCACAACATTCAAGGAGTCATCAAAGATGAATTAAGACCTAGGTTATTAGATTGATATCATTTTTCAACGCAGATTTCTTCATATTCCTCGCTCTATCTGCCGAATTTGTGGACGCTGTTTTAATTCCCACACATTCTGTCATGTGTAGAGAACGACTTTCGTTAAACTTAAGTACCTAAGGAAGACATCATTCTGTTTCTCTGTCAATAAATGGTGTAACCTAATACATCTTGGATGGTAGTAGGTATCTAGTAGCTTACTATTGTCTTGTATGCCTGTCAAACTCAAGAGCTTCAGAAGGAACTAGTTGTTGGGGTTTGAAGAAGAGAATAATGATTTCGGGGATATAATATGGCTTTCATGAGTGAGCAGCCAAACAAAGTCTCATCAAATACTTCTCTATGTTTACTGCGTAGAACACTGACTAGGCTATCTACATTTCCTACCTACCCACCTACAGGTGTTGTACCATATGGTCACACTTTTGGACAAACTGAATTTAAAGGTATCGCCCAAGTGGACGGCTTATGAATCCAATTAATGCCTAACAGATAGATCTAAGTCATGACGATTTACGATTTTATCATGAAGTAAACTTCCAACTGTCAGACTGTTAATTTCAGTTTCCGATGCAAAAGAAAGTTAAATGAAGTTGTTAATTCCTGTAACCGTTGCGAAATTTATAATAGTGATGTAGAAATCAAGTCTGACGTTAAGTATCTTCTTCTGACCTATCCTGGTCTTCCCATGTCTTAGTAATATTTAAAAAAAAAGACCATTTCCACTGACAGTGTATACTTAATGCTGCAGTGCTTTTGATCATCAATAGTGCAGATGAATTTCTCCTGAAATTTTTATTCACATAAAGCAGTACAGATGTAGTGTCACGATTGAATGTCTAGGTTGCATTATATGACATTGTTATCTTCATCAACACAACAGACCTGTGCATCTTACAATATTTTAAGTGTTTCTCTATGCTAATAACACTGTACATAGCTGTTTAGAATTGAGGCATGTTCAGCTTATATTTGATGACTACAGATTCCTAAATATGAGAATGTAATTTCTGTCGCTACATATTAACAGATTAGTGAAGTAGCTATCAAGCCTAAGTTACTGCATTTAATTGTACTACATACTTGGCGTCTAGCAGTATAGAGACTTGCAACTGGCTAGATAAGGCGACTTTAGCGTATCGAACAGTACAGAATTATTAGACTTCCTAAATCCTACTTAGTTTTTACAATGTGCTATTGTATAGAAACAGACACGAAATCTTACGAGTGACTAAATTAACAGCCTCATAATACTATAGTAAGTCTCCATTCAGCTAACTAAGCTTAAAATACGTTAATCCGAATTCACTTATTACAAAAGCACATAGTATAGGGACGCACTGAAAAAGTCTATAGGAAGTAGAAATCAAGAGTATATTAAACATTTCATTAATTTACAAAAGAATATTCTGATCAAGGGTATTAGCGTTAGTTTGACCGAATGATATTTCCGCTGATTTCATATTCGACAACCTCCGTATACCTGAAAAAATAAAGCGCATATAAGGACTAGCATAACATGAAGTTATAAAAGGTAATTCTACTTATTGGCCTACAATACGAATACACTGATTCTGTCAATACTACGTAAAATCCCCATGCAAATAAAAGTATTTGTGGTCCACAGCTGGATTTTTGATATTGACGCCGTGTGCATCAATAGACTTCATATATTTTCCAGTATTAGAGGATTATACTCAGATCTAAAAGCAATCTCTGAAACATCCATACTGTTGAGGCGTCGTTCTGTCATCATGATTAATTGCAGATCAAATTTACAATAAACGCGTCTACATTAAATGAAGTATTGCAAATGTGTAACTTAGAAATTGATCCACAATCTCAGTTAGGTCTAGTGAACAGAGTTTTATGAATCCTACAGAAATTACATTCTCATATTTAGGAATCTGTAGTCATCAAATATAAGCTGAACATGCCTCAATTCTAAACAGCTATGTACAGTGTTATTAGCATAGAGAAACACTTAAAATATTGTAAGATGCACAGGTCTGTTGTGTTGATGAAGATAACAATGTCATATAATGCAGCCTAGACATTCAATCGTGACACTACATCTGTACTGCTTTATGTGAATAAAAATTTCAGGAGAAATTCATCTGCACTATTGATGATCAAAAGCACTGCAGCATTAAGTATACACTGTCAGTGGAAATGGTCTTTTTTTTTAAATATTACTAAGACATGGGAAGACCAGGATAGGTCAGAAGAAGATACTTAACGTCAGACTTGATTTCTACATCACTATTATAAATTTCGCAACGGTTACAGGAATTAACAATTTCATTTAACTTTCTTTTGCATCGGAAACTGAAATTAACAGTCTGACAGTTGGAAGTTTACTTCATGATAAAATCGTAAATCGTCATGACTTAGATCTATCTGTTAGGCATTAATTGGATTCATAAGCCGTCCACTTGGGCGATACCTTTAAATTCAGTTTGTCCAAAAGTGTGACCATATGGTACAACACCTGTAGGTGGGTAGGTAGGAAATGTAGATAGCCTAGTCAGTGTTCTACGCAGTAAACATAGAGAAGTATTTGATGAGACTTTGTTTGGCTGCTCACTCATGAAAGCCATATTATATCCCCGAAATCATTATTCTCTTCTTCAAACCCCAACAACTAGTTCCTTCTGAAGCTCTTGAGTTTGACAGGCATACAAGACAATAGTAAGCTACTAGATACCTACTACCATCCAAGATGTATTAGGTTACACCATTTATTGACAGAGAAACAGAATGATGTCTTCCTTAGGTACTTAAGTTTAACGAAAGTCGTTCTCTACACATGACAGAATGTGTGGGAACTAAAACAGCGTCCACAAATTCGGCAGATAGAGCGAGGAATATGAAGAAATCTGCGTTGAAAAATGATATCAATCTAATAACCTAGGTCTTAATTCATCTTTGATGACTCCTTGAATGTTGTGAGTTAAAATAAATTATTTTTTTTTTTAATTTTAACGAGCATATGCCTACATATAAATTGGAAAAATACCTACTTATTCATTTCTATCATGATGTCAAATATATATATAATATATAAAACTCGGGAACTGTGGTGGAGTATAACTCCATTATGGATAAGATTTTATTTTGATAAAACAGTTAATATTACTGCACAACACTGTGATTTATCAAAATAAAATCTTATCCATAATGGAACAATGTCAAATAGCTCACACCCATAGCGGTAGAATTCTTTCCAAATTCTATCAGACTGCCCTATTACTACATTACTATATTGACTAGCATTAACGCTTCACATGGTGGTAGTAAACAGGCCTAAAGTTATTGTTGGCCATAAACAAAGGTCAGGAAAACGATCGATTGTAGACATGAGATTTAGTGGGCTGTTAACAAGGTCATTTCAAAAGCCTCACCTCTCGTTTCGGATTGGCTTAAAACATTACAAAGACAGCCAATGAAAAGCTGTGTTATTTATCACAATCTAAAGACGTTAAAGGCAAATTCACGTCTGACAAAATAATATATATAGGGAAACCAACTTTTGCCAATTTGTCTGCGTCTCTCTACGACTATGCCACCAAAGGTTGTATCTGGTAAAGCTGCGAAGAAGGCATCCAAGGCTAAGTTGCCTAAGGTTGACAAGAAGAAGAAGAGGAGGAGGAAGGAGAGCTATGCTATCTACATCTACAAAGTCCTCCGTCAAGTTCACCCTGACACTGGTATATCATCCAAAGCCATGTCAATAATGAACTCCTTCGTCAACGATATTTTCGAGCGTATTGCCGCTGAGGCCAGCAGGTTGTCGCACTACAACAAGAAGTCGACCATCTCAAGCCGCGAAGTTCAGACAGCTGTCCGTCTCTTGTTGCCTGGTGAGCTTGCCAAGCACGCCGTGTCAGAAGGAACCAAGGCTGTCACGAAGTACAGTGGCTCGAAGTAAAACATTACGCCAGAAGTAGAGAACGCTACCACAGCCCTCTTAAGGGCTACCAAACAATGATCTTGTTTTGTTTTAATTTTCTTTGGACGGCACGGGTTGTGCAGTTGAGTTGGTTTTTGTTAAGGCGGTTTTCCTCGTCAAGCATACCCACTTAAGAAGCGCTTAGGACTATCGTGGACTTCCCGACATTCCCGTCAGGTAGTAGTGGCCGTTGAGTCAGGCTTAGGTGGGGGTTGTAGGCGTGATGGTGTTGTGGTGAGATCATGGTTGTTGCAGGAGAGGTAGTGGTTGCCAATGGGAAGTGACTGTAGGTAGG